AAAACAATCATTCGCAGATACAGAAAAAATAAAAACTAATAAAGAAACTCGTTAATAAATTAACAGATATAACACTTATCAACAAATAATTAACCAAATTTATAGTGTTATATAATTTAAGTTTAAAATGTTAAATTATGTGACGATATACATATTTTAAAGGTATACATTTTGGATTATATACATCTTAGAATAATGGTATATTACACAGTACGTACGATATAAAACTTATAACATAAATTTTTGATGGATAATATTACACGGGAAACAAATTCTACGAGTCACATCTACCACAAATCCTACTCGGCCAAACCATCACCATTGGAAAACCTCTCTTCACCGGCGCTAAGCTTAACATTAGGGCACGGTTCCAGTGCTCTCACCATAGATCAATGTTATATACGTATTGACGTTGATATATAAACTATTGTAACACTTCAATGTCGCGCGTGTTGTAGGTAATGGTATTCCTCTAATATTGATAAAATGCATTGAAAAATTATTTAACTTTCTTTTTTATAATTGAAATTGTTTAGACCAGTTTACACGCACCTCCTTAAAATTATTTAAATTTGTCATTTTCCAAACACATTAACTTACACTGAAAGTATTGTGTTGATATATGAACTAAATATACAGGCATCGGTTCCGCGTCAATTACTAAAATGGAATTTAAATATTATGTGGATTGGTGCTCCTAATTTGTTCATTTTCCCTATAAGTGAGTGAAAGCTTCAAGTCAACATGTGATTCCAAAATTGTTAATCGTGTGGCTAGCCGGCTGAATACGAGTTCAATTAGCTAATGCCCACATGGAATGGAATAAATTATTTTGGAGAAAAGAAAAGAAAAATTATTTTCAAAACGGCCAAATTTATTGATATTAATTTGTGATATTGTCCATCCAAATAATATTAATCATAAATAAAAGAATGAAGAGAACTTAACTGTAAATTATATTAAATGACATTCTAAATGTGACTCTTATATAGAATGCAAATATAAGAGTCCAAAATTATACAATATTTAATAAAAACCTATTTAGAATAAAATATTAGTTTGAATGAATCACAACCTCAACACCTTATAAATTTAACAGCAATAAACACTAACTATAATTTGATGATTAAAATTAAAACCTTTTTTTTTTGCGTAATTTATTAAAATTATAAAGCTCTTTTATGTTTTTCTTACCAAATAATTAATTTTTTTTTTTAATTCTCTATACTCGAATCAACTTTTATTCTTAGAACTACCTCTGGATGGCCGAGAGTTTAATAAGGACTCTTGAGTGTATTATTCAAGCGGTTATGAGTTCGAGTCATTTCTCAGTTGCTATAGGGATAACCACTGGAGCTCTTATCCGATCGGTAGTTCTAAGGTCCTAAGAGATTAGTTAAGGTGCGTGTAAGCTAGTTTGGACACCCCAGTCTTAAAAATTAAAAAAAAAAAAATTCTTCTTAGACATACAGAATTAGAATTGAGTTAATCATTAGCGCAATCTTATTAATATGAACTAATTGAAAATATATTATTGTGGTAAGTAGTTAAAAACACAATAATCCAATAAATAATGCAAAAACATTTTATTTATTTAATAATCAGCGTAACATAAAGAGACACATGATGGATCAAGAACTTTGAAAGAACAATTAAAAATTAGTTTTTAATAATCCATTGGATTGATATTCACAAAAATTAACCAGTCAACGCCCATCATCAACCAAGCCATGCATGCATGCAACCTAGCTCACAAAGGGCGGCAAAACACAAGTGAACGCCGTCGCCTTAGCCAACAAGTTGGCAATGAGAACCCGATGATGTTTCCTTCCAGCTGCCGCCGGTTCTCCTACATTAACACCACCGTGAGCAGTCACAGCCGGGAACATGGGAGACGGGTTTCTCCTACTATTTTGCCTCTTCTTTATATCACTCAGCTCCATTTTAGTTGGAATTTTGGCCAATCCATATCCAATAAAAACCATATGCTTTCGAGATGAACTACTCGAATGATTCAACCGGTAACTCCCAGTTTCCGGTTCCCGAGAAGACTTCGATTTCACCGAATGAAGTTGTAACTTGTTGATCTTGTCACGGTTGACGTCGTAGAGATCATCAAATGGATTAAGAGGTCCGATCATACCAATAATAGAGGAGTTGTTGTTAACGTTGTCGTTTGAAGCGACGTCGGTTTGGTTAGTGTTGTTGATAGGACTAGGAGTATTAAAGGTGAAAGAGAAGTCGAAGGAGTCACGGGGAGCAGTGGGTGATGATTGATCTTGTTCATTGTGAGGGTGATCAATTTGGAGATCACAGAGAGAAACGGCGTCGTCCTGATCTGAGTCGTCTAATTCTTGAAGGTGTTGAAGATTGTTGTTGTGTTGTTGATGATCCATTGAAGAGGAGAAGAAGATAGAAATTAAAGTGCTTGGTGAGGAGAAATACTGTAACGTAGAGTTATATAATATTATAACAAGTTAAAAAAATATGAGGAAGGGAGACTGGTTCTTCCCTTGTACAACATTTTGCTTTGACCGTTCAGCTATAAAGACAAACTGGTTTTTTTTTTTTTTTTTTTTCAAGGTATATGGGCCTACTTGGCTTAATCACAAAAAAATTATTAAAATAAAATAAGAAACAGTGGTATTCCGAGAACTAAACCCAAGACCTCTCGCACCATCAGCAAGAATTTTACCACCAGACCAAAATGCCCTTTGTTACTTGAAGGGCAATACAGATAACTGAGCTTGAAGGAGAGATAGTAAAAAACACAAAAAGAACCCACATTTTTGAAAAGTATCATGTACCACCTTAACATTATCATTCACCTATATTATAAAAGTGAGTAAATGACTTTTTTCCACTCAAATAATGGCTTAATGACATTTTTTTACCTTTAGACTTTTAAAATACCACTTTACTATCAAGATTTATGTTCTGTTTTCGATTTTTGCATTGTCATACACCACCACCATTCTCTTCCCCAATCATCACTCATCAAAACCCTTCAAACCTTACTTATGTCGATCCTGTCAATCGTTGATAATTGAGCGATTAAGGTTTGCGCAGTTGCCACTCCAAGTCAAATTTCGATCAATTTCAACCACCAAAATCCAACATTCTACCCCCGAAAGACTCATCAGTCTCCCATCTTCAAAAGCCCCAACAGCCTGAACCGTGTTTGCTCTCTATTTGTCGTTAAAATATAAATTTGGATAGTAAAATGACATTTTAAAAATCGGTCGGTGAAATGGGGTCATTAAGCCATTATTTAGGTGGGAAAAAGTCGCTAAGTCTTGTAAAAGTATCAAAATAACCCCTTAAAAATCATGGGTGATTTTTTATTTGAGTATTTTTCAGGGGCCGAATAAATAACCGATAAATGCAAAACCCTGGCAATTTCGAGTGTACGCAAGTTCTGTGACTGGAGTTGAGAGAAATGGCAAGAGCAGCTCTTCTTCACTTGCTACGATCAGAATGCAAACGTCTCTCATCAAGGAGCTTCCATTCAGGTTCTATTCATCTCTCTACTTCGATTTAAACTCCTCATTTTCAGTTAAGTCTCTGTTTCATTATTTGTTATTTTGCGTTATGTAAAGGGAATAAGAAAAAGATCTGATAGTTATATTTAAAGATTTCACAGCGTATACTTTACAAATTCATGATTTTTTTTCCCGGAATTAGGTAATTAAGAAGATTTATTGTTGATGAACTTGCGTTCTGTGTATTGTGTTTAAATAAAAATAAAATTACGCCATGCCGGGGTTCACAATATAACAGTGGTAGGGTTTCTTTATCTGTTCTGTTGTCTTATATTTATGGCTGTCAGGAGATTTTTTGGCACCTTGTTTGTCGATCTTGTATTGCTGGTTTTTTCTTAAACTCCATTTGCTAAGTAAAAAAATTTGGCTTTATTGTAAATCATCCCGACCTCATGGCCATCTATCTGCCAAAATATCACGAATGACCTGGTTCTCGGAAATTGTAGGGTGAGACTCAATTTAAAGGGTTGGGGAATTTCTTGTTTTTAACTTCCTAAATAATAATAATGAATATAGCATATATCTAATAGTCCTTCTACTTTAGACTTGGTCTTGATCTTGTTTCCTATCCCTGTTAAATATTGTTCAATCTTTCTGGTATGGTTTTAGAATATGGATCTGCATACCATTGCTGTGCTTGTAGAAATCACATTTCAAAGCATCCCATTCATATGAGTTCATAATTGTGGGATCTACAAATGGCTTTGCGTGATCTATTTCTCATTATGATGGATGTTTTATGAAGAATGCAATTTCAAGGACAAAAGAGTTGAGAATCAATCGTTTTACACAATGTTATAAGCTTGTGAGCATATTTTTGGTGGTTCTGGTCGATTCTGTTTTTTGTCATACTCAAGTCGTCTTCATGTCAGCAACTTGGAGTTCACTTCTCAACAGCCTTAGCCTCTTAGATGGGGAAAACGGAAAATTCATGTTGTGTTGGCTACTTTTTTTCTTTCAACTATATCTGAAAAAGTTGGATTGAACAAATGAGTAATACTTTGTCTAGTGGAATTTCTTAAATTGCCTTCATAGTATTCTATTTTGTCAAAGTAAATTAGATGATCTTTTGTTTTGTATCTTCTAATGAACGACCTAGGCATTTATTCTTTATTTGTTCATCTAGAGTTACTGATTTTCATGATTTTTCAGTTTTTTCTGTGATAAAAATTTTCTAGTTTGTGCCTTTTACTTGATAAGAAGATCCTGTATGACATTGTGCAGTTTAATGTTATGGTCATAAGATGCCGAGTGAGATGCATATCCTTCCTAGCCTTAATTCTTATGTCTTTCAGTAGAAATTTGAGCTCTGTGATTGCATTTGCTGTTGTAGTTTAGAGGATCTTCAATGAGTGGCCAAACACAATTCATTCTTATGTCTTTGAGTAGAAATTTTAGCTCTGTGATTGCGTTTGCTGTTGTAGTTTTGGAGGATCTTCAGTGAGTGGCCAAACACAAATGAATACTTTTCTTGTTGCTTCTCTTGCAAATAAAACTGATCCTAAATTCCGTGGTAGTAACTACTGCAATGGGTGTCATCCTTGACAACCATATTTCTCCTATATAAAACTGATCCTAAATTCAGACCTCTGGAGTACACCTCTAATTTAATCATGACTTTTTTAGTTCTTTGACCCGAGGTGATGATTGTAAGATGCAAACACTTGTTGGCCTATTTTGTTGTTCTTAATAATTTTTCATGGTTTCAGGTTATCATCTTAGTACACTTGTAACAAGGTCACACTCCCCGAAGGCCACATCCAGTTTCTACTCTCCCATCCACCTTGCAGCTGCTCAGAGAAGATGGGCTTCTCAAAATTCAGCTGCAACTGACGACAGCAGGATCAGCATTGGACCACGTCGAGGGGCAGAGGGTGTGGAGGATGAAAAGGACTCTGGTGTTGTTTATTATGGTCCAATTTCATCAACCATCAAGAAAGTGAAGCTTCTCTCTCTTTCAACCTGCTGTCTCTCCGTATCTCTAGGCCCAGTCATAACCTTCATGACATCTCCAGGTATGAACGTAATCTTGAAGGGTGCAGTGGCGTCATCCGTGATATTTCTCAGTGCTACTACCACTGCTGCCCTTCACTGGTTTGTGAGCCCCTACATTCACAAACTGAAGTGGCAGCCAGGTTCAGATAGCTTTGAGGTGGAGATGTTGACATGGTTGGCAACATATACGCCACAGACTATTAAGTTTGCTGATATTCGACCACCAGAGACCCAAAGGCCTTTCGTGACATTTAAAGCCAATGGGAAGTTCTACTTTGTTGATGCAGAGCACTGTCAGAACAAGGCCTTGTTGGCGAGACTGACCCCTCAAAAATCAACTCAAGAATCGGCTTTTAAAAATCTGTAAGGTATTTACACAAGCCTCGGGTCAGCTTGAGCCTTTGGGGGTGTTTAAACAATTGCCTTTTGATAAGAGATACACCAACTTTAGTGGTTTTGATTCAAAAGTTCATTTATTATATGAAGGCTAGAAGGCCAGAATTTCCTGGAAATTTTGGTCAAATGAGGTTTTGCTAGTTGTAATAATATTTGGCTACAATTTCATGGATTATTTTGCTGGCTATGTTTTGAAGTCCATATGTAATTAGAAAATAGGATTTAGAAAATGTTAAGCCTAATTTTATTTTAAAATTTTAAAAAATATATTAGAATATGCATTTTTTGCTTTAGAAAAGCAGGTCTTTATTTCTGGGAAATTTGTGTTTTCATGGAATATGCGACATTCCAGAATCATAATCATAAAAATAAAACTTTTTGTTTTTATTTTATAAAACATTCTTTAAAAAATAATAATAATGCTGTAGTAATAACGAAGTATGTAGTTAAATTCTTATAACTCCTTGAGTTTACACTTTACATACATCATTACATTGTTGAGATATTCTTGAATTCATTAATATATTCTCGAGTGAGTTATTTGCACACGAAAGAAAAAGAAAAATACCTCGAACTATTAAAAGAACTTAAATCAACAAGCAGAATAGTAATTGATATTCCGTTCCAGGATAGCAGTTATAAATTGACAATATTTAGTAAAAAGATGATTACTAATAATTGCACCATCAGAAACAGAAACTATAAATTATACGGCTCATAAATTTAAGAACGCAAACTAGACATTAATAATGGAAAGTTGATAACAACATCTGAGGAGCTCAGGCAAAACCTAAAACTCCTGAGCTGCTTATGAAATAGAAAATATCGTGTTCAACAAGACAAACAGACCAAAATTAAAAACAGACTCAAAATGACTCCAGACAAGAATCTCGCCACCGTCGGTCAAGAACCCAGTTCTGCGAACAGCATCCCCGCCGCCAAGGTGATGACTTAAAACTATAACCATCAAAATTAACACCTAAACATACCACTTCTGGACTCCTAACAAGAACCCAGTCTTTATTATAACAACGCTGATAGCCCTCTCCTGCAGACACTGCAACCTGCACGGTTCACTTCTTCTTTGCAGCAGATTTGGTCACCTTAGCTCCACTGGGATCCTTCTTATCCACACTCTTAATGACTCCAACAGCAACAGTCTGGCGCATGTCCCTCACAGCGAAACGACCAAGTGGGGGGTACTCAGAGAAAGTTTCAACCACCATGGGCTTGGTAGGAACCATCTTAACCATACCGGAATCACCATTCTTCAAGAATTTGGGCTCCTTCTCTAGCTCCTTACCAGAACGTCTGTCAATCTTGGTCAAGATCTCAGAGAACTTCACAGCAATGTGGGAGGTGTGGCAATCAAGAACTGGGGCATATCCATTTCCAATCTGCCCAGGGTGGTTCATGATGATAACTTGGGATGTGAAGTTGGCTGCCCCCTTTGCGGGATCATCCTTGGAGTTTGATGCAACATAACCACGCTTGAGATCCTTAACAGCAACATTCTTAACATTGAATCCAACATTATCACCTGGAAGAGCCTCTTGGAGGGCCTCATGGTGCATCTCAACTGACTTAACTTCAGTGGTCAATCCAGTTGGACCGAATGTGACAACCATACCAGGCTTGAGGAGACCAGTTTCAACACGACCCACAGGTACGGTTCCAATACCACCAATCTTGTAGACGTCCTGAAGTGGAAGCCGAAGGGGCTTGTCCGATGGCCTCTTGGGCTCATTAATCTGGTCAAGGGCCTCAAGAAGCGTTGGACCCTTGTACCAGTCAAGGTTGGTGGACCTTTCAATCATGTTGTCACCCTCAAATCCAGAGATGGGGACAAAAGGAATCTTGTCAGGGTTGTAACCAACCTTCTTCAAGTAGGATGAAACTTCCTTCACAATTTCATCATACCTTGCCTTTGAGTACTTGGGAGTGGTGGCATCCATCTGTTTGGATAAACAACAGCACATACCAATTTATAGAAAAAGCAACAATAATACATAAGAAAATCTGGAAAGAATGGTGTAAAATTTCGACTATACCTTGTTACAGCAGCAAATCATTTGCCTCACACCAAGAGTGAAGGCAAGAAGAGCATGCTCGCGAGTCTGCCCATCCTTAGAGATACCAGCCTCAAAACCACCAGTGGTAGAGTCAATAATAAGGACAGCACAGTCAGCCTGGGAAGTACCAGTAATCATGTTCTTAATAAAATCACGATGTCCAGGGGCATCAATGACAGTGCAGTAATACTTTGTGGTCTCAAACTTCCACAAGGCAATATCAATAGTAATACCACGCTCACGCTCAGCCTTAAGCTTGTCAAGCACCCAGGCGTACTTGAATGATCTCTTGTTCATCTCAGCAGCTTCCTTCTCAAACCTCTCAATCACACGCTTGTCAATACCACCAAGCTTGTAGATCAAGTGACCAGTGGTTGTTGACTTCCCAGAGTCGACATGGCCGATGACCACAATGTTGATGTGAACCTTCTCCTTACCCATGATGAAGAATTGGCTTCAATCTGCGCACAAGTAAGAGATCCAAGTTAGAAAAATTAACAAACACATCTAGAACCATTGGAAAACAATAAATATAACTAAAAATTCACCTTTATTTTAAGGACAAGCCATAACATCTAATTAAATACATATACAAGCATTATAAAGAAACATCTCTAGCCTAAGATGCACATAATTACATACGAACCCAGGAATAAAGAAATCACCATAAATTACCAGATAATCCGATCTGTTCGGAAATTATATTTATAAATTCTAAAAGTAAAAGAGCACAAAATTCATAGCGAAAACCAATCAGAATAAAGTACAACTAAAAACACAAATCTATGTTTGTTCAAAATCTCAAGCAAAGAAGATATATTAGCCAAACAAGAATTATAAATCAACAATTAGAAATCAAATCGACTAAACACAAAAAGTAAACTTTCAATTTCGAACCGCAACACAAAACATCTTTACAGATCTCAAATTCGGAGAATTCACACCATCAGTACACTTAATCTAACACAAAACCAACCGGATTAAAACAAAAACAATAACTAGAATTCAATTCTTAATGGATCTCATATCGATATAAATCATCCGATCAAAATAACAGAAAAAAACAAATCATTTCGCAGATACAGAAACTTAAAAACTAATAAATGAAACTCGATTCATAAATTAATAGATATGAACACTAATCAACAAATAATTAACAATCATAGAAAAATAAGATTAAAATTAGACCTGAAGAGAGAGCGCTACTAAAACCCTAGCCGCAAGTGAGAGAAAGAGACTGGAGAAGCAGAAAGGTGAAAGTATGAGAAATGATAGGGTTTGTGAACTTTTATATGGGTATTTAATTTTTAATTTCTAGATCTGCCCTTGCTTTTTGTTCTAATGACATACGTGTCCTTCTGTTGCTACAAACTACAAAGATGGTGATTTAGGAAATTTCTTTCTCCACTCGCATTGATGCACGTTTCAAAAACAGTCCGTTCGATGTATGAGAATAGCACAACGCGCTGTGGAGAAGCGTGGAAAATGGAGAACTAGTAAAAGCATCGTATAACGACGTCGTATGTTTTGATTTTCGAGTGGCTTCTGATGTGGCGGAGTCAGCTGGGCTAGCTGCCTAGCAATAACAAAAACACTTTTAGTAATTCAAAAGTGTTTTAATTAGTAATAAGAGGGTTTTATATTTAATTAAAGATAGTTTAATTAAACAAAAGAAACTATTTTTCAAAAAATATATAAACTATTTTTTAATAAAATGTTTCTAAACAGTGGTTTTGCAATATATTTTTATAAAGGAAAAAATATATATTTAATAAAATTTCCTAAACAATAGTTACAAGGCTTTTTTTCATTTAAACAAAAAATGGGAGTTTTAATGTTTATTATTTAAATAAAATAAACTATTTTCAAAAGATAATAGAAACTTCTACTAAAAAATAATTTTAGGTCTCTTTCTAGAAAGTGTATTTAAATTGTACCTTTTAAGAGACAATTTATTTGGAACAATATTCATATAAACACATTAAATAATTACCTCTAAAAGGTTCTATGTCAAAAACAATTGAGTATACTACTTTTCTCATCAAAATAATAGTTTAATGATATTTTCTCATCCACATGATATAAAAATACCACTTTATTACTCAAAATTGATATTTTGTTTTGATTCGGGCATAATTGCGATGCTACACCACCATTATTATCTTCTTCAATTATCATTCATTACTCAACAAAATCTCTCAAACCTGCTCCTATTGACCACGTCTATCACCGATAATCGAGCTATTAGGGTTTACATAATTGTCCATCCTAAGTCAAATTTTGATTAATTTTAACCATTAAAATCCAATATTCCACCATAAAAAAACTCATCAACCTCTCTTCTTCAAAAGTTATAACAGTTTTGATCAAATTTACTATTTGTTTATTGTCGGAATATAAATTTAGATAATAAAATAATATTTTAAAAGTAAACGAGTGAAAAGATGTCATCGAACAATTGTTTGGGTCGGAAATAGTATTTAAGAATGAATAAAATATTGCATTAACGTTATCCAAATTGATTGTGTCTTTTTTTTTAATGTAATTGCTTTTTGTATAATTCATTTCAATAACTTGAATTTGAGATCTGAGACAGGTTATGTATTAGTCTGATGCAATGCAATAATTATTCATTATTAAATTAATTAACTATTAAGATAAAGAAATACAATTTCGGGTTCATTGTCATAATTACTAATTAGTACATGTTATGTTATTATTCTGATAATTATAGCATATTTATTTAAAAATAATATTCAATCGGAGATTCATCAAGTGAAACATAATACTTGGACAACACGGATACTTGGACAGCACGAATACTTGGACAACACGTTAATATTAAGCTATAATGTTTATTGCAATTTATTTATTCCGAGTGCAAGACAATCTTTTTAATATTTCTAATAAAAACCTCTTTTAATATATTATAGTTAATTTTTTTTTTAATCATACGAATAATCTTTGTACATAATATTACTCATAAAAATCTGTAGGACATAAGTTTTTATTAATTATAATTTTAACCGCCACTAGGTTTGAGTGTTGTAATTAAAGTTATTTAATGTATTAACTCAAGGGGTCTTGATTTTGATTTATCTCAACTCCTAATAAAGTGACCACTGAAAGTTTATCCGATATTAATATAAAATCTTTTTCTGGCAAACATTTGACCGTAACTGTAGTAATGAAATTGAAATATAGGTACAAAAAAATAAAATTAATGGCCGCCCATAAACGAAATCCTCAAGGTGTTTATCTAGGGGTGTTCGGTTCCGGGTACCCTACACTTTTGAAAGAACGGAACCAATCGGAACCGACGATTCCTTGAAATTTGGAACCAGAACCGAACCGACGGTTCTGGTTCCTAGATACCCAAACCAGAACCTGTAAAACGGTTTCGTTCCAGTTCTGGGTATCCTGTAAAATTCATGACCCCTCAAAAGTTTTTAAAATGGCAAAAAAACCCTTAAAAACTTATAAATACCCCCCCCCTGGCACTTATTAACAAAATAAAATACACAATTATAAATTCAAAATTACAAACTCCATTACTTTGTAAAGGTAGATTCTCAAAAGTCAAATTAACTTACTTTAAATGTTATGAAATTAATATAAATGTATTCAAAATTACAAACTCCATTACTTTGTAAAGGTAGATTCTCAAAAGTCAAATTAACTTACTTTAAATTTATGAAATATAATATAAATGTATTCACATGACTTTTTCTACAAAAGTTTTTATAACCCCCCTAATCTTTAATTTTATTTTATATTAGTCTCGGTTCCTGGTTCTTGATTCGGTTTCGGTTCCTAACTAGAACCGGAACCGGAACCGCATAGTACGGTTCCAAAAATTTGGACCGAAACCACCCATGGATGATGGCGGGGTAGAAACTGGAACCAAACCTAGGTAACTGTAGTAATGAATGAAATAATATGGTACAAATAAAAATTAATGGCCGCCCATAAACGAAATCCTCAAGGTGTCTTATCTAGGGGTGTTCGGTTCCGGGTACCCTACACTTTTTGAAAGACCCGGAATCGGAACCGACGATTCCTTGAAATTTGGAACCAGAACCGAACCGACAGTTCTGGTTCCTAATACCCAGAACCAGAACTTGTAACAACGGTTTTCGGTTCCAGTTCTGGGTATCCTGTAAAATTATATGACCCCTCAAAAGTTTTTAAAATGGCAAAAAAAAAAACTTAAAACTTATAATACCCCCTACCTGGCACTTATTAACAAAAATAAAATTACAAATTATAAATTCAAAATTACAAACTCCATTACTTTGTAAAGGTAGATTCTCAAAAGTCAAATTACCTTACTTTAAATGTTATTAAATATAAATATAAATGTATTCACATGACTTTTTCTACAAAAGTTTTTATTAACCCCCATAATCTTTAATTTTATTTTATATTAGTCTCGGTTCCTGGTTCCTGATTCCGGTTTCGATTCCTAACTATAAGAACCGGAACCGGAACCGCATAGTAACGGTTCCAAAAATTTGGAACCGAAACCTACCCATTGATGATTGGTTCTGGGTAGAAACTGGAACCAAACCTAGGGTACCCACTAATTCTGATTCCAACCGGTTCTTTTGAACACCCCTAGTCTTATCTACACATGGATTGAAGAAACAAGTTGCCTTTTTGATCTCGTTATAATGGAAGAAGAACATGTGGGTTGTTTCTTTTGTGGACACCCCCAGGCCCCCCCTCCCAGACAATTTCCCTTTCTCCATATGGGATTGGAATACATGCAAATGTACTTAGAAAAAAATATTAAATTAAAAGGGCAATTTGGTTCACTATATTACTGAAAAGATAAGATTACCGTTGAGATAGATTAACTTGAAAATTAAATAAGGAATGTTTTATAATACAGTACATGTTTAGTTAGATTGGTAGTTATAAATAATTAATATGTTTGGCTGTGAGGAATAAACTAATTATGAGAGACCCTTTTACTAAATTGTCTTTTTTTTTTTGAAATATTATTTTATTTTAGATTGTTCCTTTTTGAGAATTTGGTTGTTTTTTTTTTTTTTAAATATTATTTTATTTTAGATTGTTACTTTTTGAGAATTTGGTTGACACATCACAGCTACAATAAAAGTTTAAAATTTAACAAAATACCTTCAGTCACCCAAACGATTATCGACCGTCGGTTGTAGTCGGAAGTGGTCTGAAAGGCGCAAGACCAGTCGGATATGGCCAACTGTGCGTCGATTTGATCGTTTCTAACCAGATCGCCATGGATCTGGCTAGAAGCGATCTGGTCGAAAACAGCCATAACAGAAAAAAATATTAAATGAAGGTTTATTATCGTATTAGCATTTGTAATAGGCCTTATAAATATTTTTAGGATTTATTTTATACACCTCTTATCGGATATCATAAAAAATCTCGTGTCCTAAGAGTTTATTTTATAATAATTATAAGGTTTTTTTTCTTATAGTTTCCGAAAGCTTTGAGTGCACTTAAGATTAAACGACCCCATAAGAAATATATGAAATAAACCCAAAATTTGTATTTGTTATTATTATGGGTTTCCATATTTCAATATCAGCTTCTTTATAGAAAATTAGAAATTTTCTATATAGATGGTAATTGTTGATGTTTGATTTTAATACCAACGACTTGCACGTACAAAGTGTTAAGAGAGTCTTAGAAATTACACTAATAGATTCATGAGATTTGGAAATGGTGCTGAGATTATATATGATTGCACATAATTAATAGATAGACACGAGGGATTTTTATAGCGGTTCGGATGCTTAAAGTGAATCCTACATCCACTATTATTTTATTATTCTCTGACTATTTCCATAATATTGCATGTAAGACGTACAAAGATGAAGAAATACTTTGTTTACAGAGAAAAATAAGCTCTCATGTGCCTAACTCTCATATGTCTCAGCCTCCCTTTTTACGAAGAGATGTGACCATTTATACACTTTTAAGGTCAATGTAATAAGTACTTTTATAAGTTGTCTTGGCACATAAAGAGCACATCCTCATCTTAAAATGAGATAAGGTTGGTATAAAATATCTTTAAGGTGGTATGAGCTTGATAGCTAGTACACTTTATCTTTCAGGCACTTGTTAAACTGACATCAGTGTATTTTTTTAGGCATAATAGTAATCTTTGATTCTTTATTAATGGAATTTAATGTTCATAATCTTTCAAAAATGCTAAGGTAATATGCATCTTCAGCAACATTAGATTCATTATTTTTTTCCCCCTTATAAAAGTGTAGCTAAATTACACATTACATATCCAACTTCAATTAAAACTTGGAAAAATCTCTTGGTTTTGGTTTTCAAATATGAATCAGAAGGCTTATACTTCTCTCTCAGCATCTTTCTTAATCATCCTTTCAACAATGTTTCTGGTAAGTTTTTTCTCTATCTCAAAAAATAAAAGTTTATTATTGGATTAAAGATTTGAATTAAATTTTTTGTGTGTATTTGGCAGGTGAATCATTGGTTGGCAGGACTTGGAGTTGAAGCCGGTAGCTGCCATCGTGACGAAGACTGTAAATCTGAATGTCCAGAAAGCGGATATTGCAGCGATTTTCGCCTGTGTAATTGCATACAATCTACTCTAAAGCGACCTGAATTTGAAATATCTGAATATGGAACTGAATCTGACGACGATAAGAAGAAATATACGCCACAATGTACTGGTCCACGATGTGCTCGTGATCCCGACTGCTTGGATTGTCCAAACGGTAAGGGAGGCTTATGCGACCTGATACATCGCANAAAAATAAAATAAAATTCATCCACCTCTACTCAGAGATCAACAATACATAAGTTGACAATATGGTGTTCCAAAATTTAATTTCCCTTTTCTAATATCGTAAACAAAATTTTTCCCTTTTGCATATGTATTTCATAATCAGAATAACTTCCACAAGCCTAAATGAGCATTACATCATGCAATACAGTTGCTTTAAGAAATTGCCACCAAAGAAACATCTCAACCTTCTTACTTTCACATCACATGGCATCAAAATTTGATGGTAGGAAGGCATTAACCTTCAAGCTTTTCAATTCTGCCTCGATTTCTATCTCTTCTTTTGTCATTGAACGAGGGGTCTACCTTATTTTTTTTCTCCGGCTGCTCTTCACCATTGGCACTAGCTAGCATCTATGGTGACAGTTGATTGTTGTCCTCTTTTCCTTTTTGATTTCTTCTGCTCAAGGAAACTGCGGCAAAATTGTTACAACTGTAATTACTGCAAAATGCAGCGAAGAGAGAATATCAAAGGTTTCTACTAGGAATAATCAAAGTACAAAATAGGTAAGGTGGGTTGTACCTTATCTTTCCATTCAAAATAAGACTCCCAGAAGCAGCCCTTTCCATGACACTTTTGTAATATTGTGTAAATGGGGCATTGCCACTTTGCTTCTCAAGCTGGCATGGAAAATTCATCAATGTCAGATAAGCCTGTTAGATTTATCGAATCCCAAAATATATTGTTAACACAAACAAACCTGAAGAAATGTTTCAACGGACTGCTGATCTTTCGGTGAAAATGCCACCTCCTCTCTCTTCTTTCGCACAAATTCAATGTTCTGCTCCACCTAACATTGCCAGAAAAAATTTCACAAAAAAATGTTCCCATAATCAGTAGTAAGCTCGTCATGTAATGAAATATCAATTTTCTATTCAATAAGCAATATGATCATAAGATTTAGAACAACCAGCAAAACATGCTATAGAGGAAACTAAAAACTCAAGCTTTTCTACACTTGTCAAGATAGTTTACACAGCTTGGGTTCACCATCAAAATCATTTCGGGAAAGCCTAGATATTTGGAGCTCAACAGTCCATGCCACGGGGCTTTCAGCTCAACATGATATTTCATTCCTTTCCTTTCTTAAGTACCTCACATTGCATTTCTAGAATTATCAATTGGGAGCAAGACAGTAGCAAACAGGTAGGCTGTTTTTGTAACTAGATGTTCTTCTAATGAATTCTTGCCAGGGTAGTGGTATAAGAAAACACTAAATTCATTCATAAGAATTCATACCATATCAACAAAGCGTTTCACAACTCGCCGGAAACTCTCAATAGCAGTTTTTTCGTGAAACTTCCTTAGACGAATGAGTGGAATAGTTGCCAGCTCAGGAAAAGAAATGTTGTAACTCCACTGAGCAAAGTGCACTGAAAGCAGTTCAATGGCAGTAAAAACACACTCTTCTTGGAAGTTTCGGGATTTCAGCAAATGTTTTGGCAACTGCACCATAAATATCAAACATTAGTTTTACCCAAAATACAGGAGATATTTTGCTAGACAGTGTATAGGTTTCAAGGAACAATAGATGATCAATGAAACACATAATCAGAACAGAAAGAGAATAATAACACAATGGTTTCAATTAGATGTGCATGAACCACATAAAGAAATTGGGCAGTAAAATAGAACTTAAATTTCAACATAACATTACTATTTCCTGACCTTCACTGCAGATGAAAAGTTGAAGTCCTTCCCAGGCTTCCCACCCTCCTTTCCTATTTTATATCCCAAAAGATCCAACACCAATGAAGTGACAGGGATGAAAATTCCACTAGCACTAGAGAGATGATTTAACCACTCAACACATTTGCGTCTTAAAGGCAGATATCTTGGTCCTGGAAAAAGTACAGCCACTCCATTTATAATCTGAATGATAATATAAATCAACGGCTGAAGATCATAATCGTGCACATTATGTGATATATAGGTAACCCAGAGATCAATGCAGTTAGTAAACTGCCAACTGCATATCTTCTTCACTGCTTCCTGTTTATAAGCAATAAAAACAAAAAATGATGAAAGCATTCCTCTCCATTATCAAAATTCAAAATAAACTAATTTCTATCAACACCAAATCTAATCAGCAACTGAATAAACTCTGAATTCGACAAAACAGGGAAATTATGTAAAACATGCACAGTGCATCTGCACACCTTCTTCTTTGTTTGTAGACCTAACTGCAGTATCCTAGACATTTTCTGGATGGAAATCATTGCCTTGCTTGATGATTTCTGCAGATCTTGAGAGCACAGCTCAACAAAAGAGTTCCTTAGAAATTGTATGTGTTTGAATAGAGCTGGCTCCACAAATTTGCAGTGACCAATGAAGGCTTTGAACATTTTAATTAAGCAAATATCGAAGAAATCTGAACTAAACACAGAAGACACATCTTGTAAGAGAAGAAAGGAGTGAGATGATAAAATCCCTTCACCAGTTGCCCACAGATGAACCCCAATCTGCATTCAATTCAAAAAGCAAGAAATGAGCTCAAATAGCATAAAATTTAATTGTGATAAAATATATCAATATAAATTCTGGATATAACTATTTCATAAAACTGCAAAACAATCAAGTTCCAAGATATTGCTATTTTCTGTACTGTGCCAATGTGAAAGCCCCATAATATAAAAAGTAAAACTGGTTATAATAACAGTGTAAATACAAAATAACTCATACAAACATCTTGGTTACATATTGATAAGATGTCTAAACTTGATCAAAAATACAATATAAATATACATAATTTCAAATAAAAATACCTTGATGAGTCTGTGCAGTAAAGGAGGAAAAGCAGCAAAAAATACTACAGAAGCTCTAAGCCTGCTTAAGGATAAAGCTAATATCTCAGAGTCTGTAGCCTGATTCAGCATGAACATGGTACTTCTCAAATAAGACTTGATAAGTGGCCTCAGAGTTTTCCATTTTGGAGTATTCTTCAGTTCCAAAATGGTCCCCCTCTTGCTAGATGAGGATGAAATTCCCAGCATCCCACGAAATACATTATCAGCCTCATGAAGCACAAATGTCAATATCTTGCAAAAGGTTTCACTCTCTTGAATTCTACAGCTGGAGCCGGCATCAAGGGCACCAGTTGATTCAGCTCCATAGTGGCATGCAGCTCGATACCCATTTAGTAGACTAATAAGGGCAGGCACACTCTGCTGCTCTTTAATTAGGTTACACCAAGAATTAACAACAGAGTTGGTCAAGAGCTTGTTCTTATGTGAATTTGGGCCATCATCATCCACTGAATTTATGTCATCATTACTTGTCTCATCATCATCTGAATACTGTTATACAGGAAATACGATGAAAATAAACTAATGGAAAAACCAGCAAATTCAGATAAACAAGACTAAATCTGAGGATTTAAATACCAAATTCTTAGTATTAAAAAAAAAAAAAAAAAAAAATCAATCTTCACAATTGCAAAAATGTGGTTAAATCCATTGCAAGGATAATATACTTTTCAAAGATGCGGAAAATCTGAAGATAAAGCTACCTAGTACATATATACCACAAAGTTATAAAAACAGTCACATTTGAACACAAGTAATACACAGTCCAGACAGTTATTTCATTGAGATATCATTCTCAAGACAGAAAAAACATCTTGAGTAACTTACAGCATCTTCATTTCTGGATGATTTGAGACCCCTATCATGACTTTCCAAAAACCTTGAAAATTCTGGATCCTGAAATTTTCCAAGTAAAATTGCTTCATCAAATAAATGAAAATATCTGCAAGCGGACACTCAGATTAAAAGGAGAAACACCTTATCAAGATCAATCACCTAATTCACAAAACCTTGAGGCAAACTCTAAATACAATAAGGCTCCTGGTTTTAATTCATAAACAATCATATATCTGAGGTCCATCCCCAGAAAATTGACATTTTGATTGATCCTCTTACCTTTTTTTTCAGTCTTTCCAATTTTTTCATTTTACTCTCCAGTTCTGAAAGAATTTCTTGGTTCTGCACAGATGACTCCATACCAGCTCCGTTCTCTGTATATGAATTAATTTACAAATTTTAACAAAAAGATGATCAAAGGAAAAGAAGAAATAGATGATGCCTGAAAACTTTAAAACACAAGTTGCACAAGCAGTAATAGTGTATTCACCTTCCAGATGACTTTCAGCTACATATGTATCACTTGAGTCCTGGTCATAAAGTATTAAGATTAATACCAGAGGAATCAAAGAAAACATTAACAACAAGTTCATGTATGATAGGTTTCAAACCTCTAAAAGATATCCATCACTGCCTGAATCATCTCCGTCGACGTCACTATCGTCTTCACTAAATATTTCATCAAGGGATGTGTCCTCAATATCCATACCTTCATGGTTTCTGAAAAGAAAATTGAGATTTTTCAAATAAATGGTTCAAGGCCAATACATACAACTCTGAAATAAATTCTTCTAAGAAATCATACCACATGCCATGGTACATACATATTTCCAATGACAACAACATACAATAATCAAAGAAAAATAAAAACAAAACAAAAGGAGAGACAAATTGAAAGTCAAATAATTGAGTAGTTGCAATTTCAAAATTTTACCTTCTATTAGATAATTCTCGCGCCTCTTCTTCTTTGTTTTCAGCTGCATCCCTCTCATCTTCTACACAAATCGAATTACAAGCAACATTACCAATAAATTACTTTAATCAAGCTCAAATTTAACCAGAGCTTGTATTTTTTTATAATAAATACTCATGAACTAATCCACTACTTCAAACGAGCTAGAATGAACTTTAACAATAAATTGCACTATAAGTTCACGTTAGCATTTAATTAGACGTTCCAAAACTTAGAACTAATTAAAAATGAATATAACAAAGAAAAAAAAAAAACCTTACTTTTAGAAGCTTTCTTCTTGAACATAGACTTATTCTTTCGCTTTCTTTTTAACACAGACTGCAGATTCTTCTTGGCGAACTTCCTTGCTTTCTTCCCGAGTTTTCCCATTTTTTTTATCGAAAAACCCTAAAAAAAATAATTAAGTACTAAAATTGAATCGAAATCATTCGATTATCAAGCAAGAAAATAATCACCAGCAGTGAAGAGAGAGATAGAGTTTGCTTACCGGCTAGAGTAGCTGGCAACTGCTCGTTGTGAAAACGGGAAGTGGTTAAAGTGAAATATCCAAAAGTACGGGGGACTTACACGTAATTAACAAAAGGAAGTTGAGGTTCGGCGATTAGTTCACTTCATGGAAAGTTCAAAACCCCAGGGTTTTGGTTTAGAGAGAGAAGACTGCCAAGGCATTCAGAAAAGTCATAGGGCTATTTCAGTAATTTCTTCAGCGGGTCGGACTACTGGTTGGGCTGGGGAAAGATTTGATTTTGGGCTTGTCATTTGTCAATGGCTTCACATGTGTAATTAAATTGGTAATATTTTTTACTGTAATTATTAATTAAATCAATAAAACGAGAATAAAAAAATAAATGAGTGGAGCAATCTTCTTCCCCACAGAGCTTTAAGGAGCCTTTTATTAAAAGGCCAATCAAATTCAAATTTAATTAAAAAGTCATGTAGTTTGAAAGTGTTAAGTAAATAACTTTATTATTGATTAAGGTTAATTAAACATGATTAGTGGTTAATTAAGATTAATGAAGTATTGTGTAATCTTTTAAAAATTACAATATGTCCCCAAAGAGCTGAAATTCTTGTAAACAAACCCAAATACCTTCTTCTTCTTCCTCCTGCCGTTAACGCATCCCTCCCCTAATTGTTGTTTCTTCTAAGCTTCGTCTACATCTTCTTCTTTTTGTACATCTTCTTCTTCCTCCTTCATGTACGTTTTCTTCTTCCTGCCATTAACATCTTCTCCATCACAGATTCTCCTCCTCCTCTTGACATTTCGTTCAGGTATGTGTATCTTCCCTTTCCATTTTATATTTTGATTTACAAAGATTTAATAATGGATTAGGTTTGGGTTACAATTTTGATTTAGTTGTTTTGGTTGTTGGGTTGTGTTTGATGTAATGCAAGTTAAAATGAGTGAAATTTGTTGAATATTTTATTGCATTGTGGGTAGCTGGGAGTGGTAACACCGATTGTAGATGGAGATGACTGAAAATGTGTTATGGAAATGATAGATCGCTTAAGCGATCTGGTGTATCACTTAAGCGATCTGGTATATTTGATATAATGCAGCAGATCGTAGATCGCTTAAGCGATTAGGTATATGGCAGAAGATCGTTTAAGTGATATGCTATAAGTCTGGTATATGACAGCAGATCGCTTAAGCGATCTGCTATAAGTCTGGTGTATGGCAATAGATCGCTTAAGCGATCAGGTAAATGACAGAAGATCACTTAAGCGATCAGGCTCGTTTAAGCGATCTAGTAAACAATATACTAGATTGCTTAAGCGATACACTAAATCGCTCAAACGATTCTGCAGATGCTTTTTAAAATCTTTCAACCCTTAATACATTAGTTAATACTATTTTTTTTTCTTGCATTATAGGTACTTGGCTATTATTAGACATGAGACAAGTTGTTTTGGGTGTTGAATATTTTGGTGAGTGGGCGGAGGAAGAAAGTTGCTGGAAGTGGATTGGGAAGAGCAAAGAAGTTATACCAATTGCTGTGAGCACAGAGGTTAGTTTTGATGAGTTGATTGATGAAATAATTAGAATAGGTGATTTAAGTTGCTCACATAGTGATATAGTTGTGAAGTATGTTTTAAGCAGAGTTCCTAAACATTATAAGGTACCTCCTATTATATTAAAGTTGGATGAATGTGTGAAGTTATATATGTTTGATATGGGTGATAATGGTTCGAGGCTGATTTTAAGGGTTTCTTTTGTAGATAAACCGTTGGAAGTTGGTTCAAAGGAAGGGGATAACGAGGAAGTTGGGGGAGAGAATGCTTGTTTTAATTTGAACTACGAGGGCATTGATTTCTTAGTTGAAAAATCAAGAGTAAGTGGTGATTTGGGTGGTAAGGAGGACACTATAGAAGAGGTTGGTCATGTGCGGCAGAATGAAAATGTTGAGGAGGAGGACCCCATACATGTTCCCATAGATATAGAGATTCCTTTAAATACATATTATGCAGAAGGTGTAGTTTGTGAGGAAGAGAACACTATGATCCTTTATACAAGTTCAGAGGGGGCAATTGCAGGTAGTAGTGAATCAGCTCATGTTTTTACGGATAGATCAGAGTTACGCATAAGGTATTTATTTGACAACAAAGAGGAAGTAGTGAGGAAGCTAAAACTTATTGACGTGAAAGGTAATTTTGAGTTCATCACCAAAAAGTCTAATTCATCAGTTGTGACGGTTGCATGTCGTGACTGAAAGTGCAAGTGGCGGGTTTATTGTAGAAGGTTGGCGGAGTTTGGAAAATTTATTGTTAGCACATATACCTGTGAGTACACATGTGGTTTAAGACATATTTCAGGTGAGCATCAACAAGCCTCCGCTGATGTTATTGGACTATTTGTCAAAAGTCAGTTCATTGAAGAGAAAGATCTATCTCCTAAAGACATTTAGAGACTTGTGCGCACAGAGTTAGGATGTGCTGTTAGTTATTGGAAATGCTGGAAAGGGAGACAACATGCACAAGATTTTGTGAGGGGCACGCTGTAGCATGGGTATGCAGTATTAGAAGCGTACCATTATATGCTCGAGTTGACAAACCAAGATAGCAAGACGGCTTTGAAGTGGGACAAGAATATGAAGTTTAAATATTTTTTTGTTGCTTACGGTTCTGCTATAAGGGGTTTTGTAAACATGAGAAAGGTGTTGACTGTTGATAGTTGCTTTTTTACGGGAAAGTATGGAGGTACATTGTTGGTGGCCACTGCACAGGACAACGAGAATCACACATATCCCGTTGCATAGTGTGTGGTTGACTTTGAGAACGACAAGTTGTGGACTTGATTTTTTTAGCAATTACGTACGATAATGCCTGACATTGACGAGTTGTGTATAACATCCGATAGACACAACTCTATAAAGAAAGGGATTGCCACTATTTACCCTCAAGCACATCACCGATTCTGTATAAGGCACCTTCGTGAGGACATAAAACAAAAGTTTAAGTGTGCTGGCCTCCTTCAGACATACTATATGGCAGCAAAAACTTATCAAGTTGATGAGTTCGAGGAGCACTTCCGGCAAATCCAAATCAAGGATGATAGAATTGCTAAGTATCTTAAGCATGATGTTCGTTTCGAGTAATGGAGTAGAGCTTACTTTCCTAGAAGAAGTTTTGATGTCATGACCACGAATATAGCCGAGTCCATAAATTCGAAGTTGTCAATAGAAAGAGAGTTTCCAATAGTTGCCCTTTTTTATGTAATCCAGAGGACATTGTCACGGTGGTTCCATGAGCGTCATATGGAGTCGGATAATTTTACCACAACTCTTGTTTCGTCAGTTGAAAAATTATTGCGAGAACGTATGGAACTGTCAAATGTATTGTTTGCCTATCCTCTTAATGCTCAAGAGTTCACCGTGCGTAGCTATGGTTCGGATGCCCTGGTTAACCTTTTTAGTAAAACTTGCAGTTGTAAAGTGCTTGACATTCAACGTTTACTTTGTCCTCATACACTAGCAACATTGAAACACCAACGGAAACCGGATTTTACATGGAACTTTGCTACCCTCTCTATATGACAAATCACTACATGCTGACTTATTTGGAAACGATATATCCAGTTCCTCTAAAAGAGCAGTAGGTGGTGCCGCTAGAGTTGGTTCACATTATCATCCATTCGCCATTCAAGAAAATAGAAAAGCAAAGAAAAAGAGTTAAGCGATCAGCCTTTGAGGTTCCCCAGAGAATGAATAGGTGCTCAATTTGCAAGCAAAATGGCCACAAAAGAAGTAGTTGCCAGAATCGATCACATGCAGATCCAAAAGATTAAGTTCGAATTGATCAGTAGCAAGAAAGCAAGCAATCTGCAAATAAGATCAGATCGTTAAAGTGACATAAGATCGCTATCTGTAGATTGTTTAAGCGATTTGCTGCTCAGGTCCACTAGATCGCTTCAGCGACGTAAGGTCACTTAAGTGATCTTTTCTTATATGCATATCTGACAAGCAGATTGCTTAAGCAACGAAAGATCGCTTAAGCGATCTGATGAAGTTTTTATATTTCTCTTTTGTGGTGCATTAAACTGATTTTCTATTCTTGTATTTCCAGCTATGTCATCAAGAAGAATGATGAAATCGAGAGAGTTGCCAAAGCCAACCGTTGAAGAGTTGTTGTTTTCAATTTTTTATGTTTTAAATTTTATTGTTACCTTGAATAAATCATCCTTTATAATGTATTACATCAAATTAATTATTTTTCATTTTCATCAATTTTAAAAAGGGGTTTAAGTTAGTAAAATTTGCATATTACCTTTAAACAGCACTGATAGCTGCCCAAAGAAGCAAGACAAGCAAAATTAATATTATTAACATCATTGTCGTATCAAGACAATTAATCAATCAATCAATTTACTGAATTAGTCACGAGTTAGGCAATACATATTTTTTCCAGTTTTTCTCTTGAATTTTAACAAACTAAAATCACTAACACATATTAATTCCTTATTTTCTCCTAAATTTGACAACCTAATTGCATCAACACATTAATGCCATGTAACAAGAATACTAAATAAACTCAAACTCAAACCCAAAAAAGGGAGAGAAATGCTGAATTGCTTTTGTAATAATCTGAAATGTGTCAATTACAACATTATATACAACAAATAAATCTCCTATATACACCTAAAACAAAAGTAGGGCCGGTAGCCTCCATCCCTCCTCTTAATCATTCTCTTCAACCACTTCCCTATCCTCTAAAATTATCCAGCACACCTTTAGCATCAGCATCAGCACCACAACCCAAGTAACAACAGCCTGACGCCTAATAACACTAGCTGATCCAATTCAAGACAATCCAATTATTCAAGACAACCCAATTATTTAAGATAACCCAATAAGACAACATCACATAAACTACAAAATTCTAAGTCCAACTTCTATACCTTTTGATGTCAGCATCAACAATGACTTGGATTGGTTTCTGGTCAGTCAAAAGGGATCCATAAGCCCATGGAAGCACTGAACAGCCCAGCGTTCCTGACAGTTGTTCATTATTTCGTCATTCAAGTCGTCCATCGAGGTGTTGGTCATGTCAAATTCGATAAATTTCAGTGCATATGCCCCCCAATCAGCACTAGTACTAGGGGTGAGCGGTTTCAGGTACCCTATAT